CAACTCCTGGGCTTAAGTGATTCTCTTGCCTCAGCCTCCCAAGTAGCTGGGACGATAGGCGCCTGCCACAACTCCTGGCTATTTTTCATTGCAGTTGTCATTGTTGTTAGGCGGGCCCGGGCCAGGTTTGAACCCACCAACCTTGGTGTATACGGTGCTGAGTGAAACATCCAGCTTTTTTTTTTTTTTTAATTAAATGATAGCTGTATACATTAATGCAAACACGGGGTACAGTGTAGTGTTTTCATATACAATCTGAAATACTTTCATCAAGCTGGTTAACATAGACTTTGTGTCATTTACTTAGTTATTGTGTTAAAACATTTATACTCTAGTTCTAGAGAAGTTCACTTGAACCCTTGTTAGACAGATATATAGGTGATCTTTCTGGTCACCCTCCCACCACCCAGCCGCCCTTCTCCCCTCCCCTTCCCCATCCCTTCCCCCATATTCTTGGGCTAGAATTAAGTTGTAGCTTTCATTCGAGAGCTATAAATTAGTTTCATAAAAGGGCTGTGTCCATTGGATACTTTTTCTTCCATTCCTGTGATAAAACATCCAGCTTTTTATGGGTTCCAGGGACAAAAATTCTTATCCATGGAGACTTGGAGGAGGGTGTATCAGAGGACTTATTTTTTTCTCTTAGAACTGTATCTATTGAACTTTAGTAATTTGGAGAAAGTCGGTGAAATCAAGGTCTGGGAGATTTTCTTTTTTATATATTGATAGGTTTTTCGTTGCTGTGGAGTACTTTGCTTGCAAAATGTCACTACTCTAAGATGCTGGTGAGCGGGGACATGTCTGTGTGTAGGTAAAAATGACGTGTCTAGTTAATACAGAATGATTAGAAGGCTTTCTTGAGCACTGAGGTTTGTTGCTGTCTGGTGTGATTTTACTGAGATTCTGGTCGGAAAAACACGTATTTTTGTACATCTTTATCTGTCCGGGCCGTTCTCCCCTCTCAACTTTTTCTTTGGTTATATTTTTGGTTTTCTTTTTAGTTTTTTTTCCTCTTTCTTTTCTTTTTCCTTTTCTTCTCTTTTCTCTGCTTTTCTCCCCCCTCTCCCCCCTTTTTATTTTCTTTGACACCAGCTCCCAACCCTCCTCCTTACCTCTGAATTAAATTGCAACTTCCCCCAGGAACCCGGAGGCCGAGTCTGAGACCTTCCTCCGGCCACCACTGCTGGCTGCATCACCTGGTCTCAGCTCAGACTATTCACGGCTGGCATATTCCACAGACTTGCTTCATCCCGAAAAGATCAAATCCTTCTAATCTCCCGCCATCGCAGATTATCCGTGATGGACCTGAGGGTGACCTCTGGCCGCAGGGGTAATAATGGGGTGCTTTATTTTTAAGGGGCTCTGAGCACATTTTTAATCACCCTGGTGTCGGATCAGTGGGAGTGGATAAGAGATTACATCCAAAAGCAATCCAGTGTTGCATACTGATTGATGAGGAGACTGCTTCTGGGCACATACCAACATTTAGCACTTGTGTATTTGAGCCTCAGAGAGAGAGGGGGCTGTGTAGATTGTTTTCAGCCAAGCTGACAGTAGTGCACAGTGGTCTTACAATTTAGGATATTTTCTTTTTTTTTTGAGACAGAGCCTCAAGCTGTCCCCCTGGGTAGAGTGCCGTGGCATTACAGCTCACAGCAACCTCCAACTCCTGGGCTCAAGCGAGTCTCCTGCCTCCGCCTCCCAAGCAGCTGGGACCACAGGCGCCCACCACAACGCCTGGCTATTTTTTGGTTGCAGCCATCATTGTTGTTTGGCGGGTCCGGGCTGGGGATTCGAACCTGCCATCTTAGGTGTACGTGGCTGGCACCTTAGCTGGTTGAGCTATAGGCGCCGAGCCCAATTTAGGATATTTTCAAGAGCTCTGGGTTGGGTGTGGTGGCTCACACCTCTAATCCCAGCAGTCTGGGAGACCGAGACAGGTGGATCACTGAGGTCAGGAATTGGAGACCAGCCTGAGCAAGAGTGAGACCCTGCCTCTAGTAAAATTAGAAAAACTAGCTGGGCATTGTGGCAGGCACCCTCATTCCCAGCTACTCAGGGAGGCAGAGGCAGGAGGATTGCTTGAGCTCTGGAGTTTGAGGTTGCTGTGAGCTATGACTGTACCACACTCGATCAGGGCAACAGAGCAAGACTTTATCTCAAAGAGAAAAAAGAGCTTCATTCTTCCCTGAAAATCTTAACACCACACCGTTGCTGGTAAGCTCCAGCTAACTTTGCCATCAACCCTGCCCTGAATAAATCCAAAAAGTCACCAGCTTATATAGTTACAGGTTGTTCGTAAAAGTTCACTAGGAAGATGTCATTTGGACCTTAGAACTCATTTCCCTACCAGAGCAGTGCAATTGTGCTGGAGTTCTAAGCCTATCCACAGAAACACGGATTGATGGTCCCGCGTTTAAAATACTGTACATTTTTGTGACAGTGCAACCTTGCAGGAAGGGGTGGTGACCATAAGGCACCGTGACCGCTGTGCTGATATGCACCTGTGGTGCACGTCCAGTCTATGAACTTTAGGTCAAGTTAAGAAGGTCGTCAGTGCACGCAGCGAGTCAGCTATAGAGGGTGTGATGTATTTCAGTCTTTTTTAAAATGTCTCCTTTTCCCAGGAGGTGTGGCTGTTAATTTGTTAATTTATTGTGCATTTCTGAGCTTGTTTACAGTTCCCAGAGATCCTGAATCAGGTGTGACCTCTGACGCTCTCTGGGTTGTATCTGAGTTTGCTAGGGCTTCCATACGAAGGAGCATGCATGAGGGGGCGTCCAACAATGCGTGTCTACTTTCTAATAGGTCATTCAGATGCAGGGGTCCTCAGACTTTTTAAACAGGGGGCCAGTTCACTGCCTCTCAGACCATTGGAGGGCTGGACTGCAGGCCTCTGGACGAGTCAGGCAGCGGCGGCAAAAACACCCAGCGGGCCGGATAAATGTCCTTGGCGGGCTGCATGTGGCTTGCGGGCTTTAGTTTGAGGGTGCCTGAGATAGAGTTTCGAGATCGAAGCATCAGCAGGGCTGAGTCCTGCCGAGGCGTCTTTCCTTGGCTTGTAGACACCGTCTTGTCCATGCGTCCTTATGTGGTCATCCCTCTGTGCATGTCTGTGTACAATGTTTTGGGCGGCAAACTTCAACCCATACTTCATAGTGGAGCTGGGCTGGGAATGTGGGCTGGATCAGGCCTCTTGGATCAGGCCCCACCTAGAGATCGCACTTCAACTAAACTACATCTTTAAAGGTCCTGTCTCCACATAAACAGCCACCTCTGAGGAACTGAAATTTTATAGTTCAATATATGAATATTGGGAAGGGGGAAGACATAATTCAGCCCATAACACACTGTTAATTCGTTTATCACCAAAACATTGTATCTGTTCTTGGCCCATCCCAAGACTGTTTAATGCAGGCGTCCTCAAACTACAGCCCGTGGGCCACATGCAGCCCGCCTAGGACATTTATCCAGCCTGCCAGGTGTTTTTGCCACTGCTGCCTGTCCTACTTAGCAGCCGACTGGTCCCAGGGCCCGCAGTCCGGCCCTCCGACGGTCTGAGGGACAGTGAACTGGCCCCTGTTTAAAAAGTTTGAGGACCCCTGGAATGGCATGCACCCATCTTAACATTGTCATAGAATGTGCGCACCCCCCATTCCTATGGTGAAATCTTCACCCCCAGAGTGATGGGATGAGGCAGTAAGGCTTTTGGGAGGTGATGAGGATGGAGCCTCATGGAATGGAATCGTGTCCCTTTAAAAGGGACTGCAAAGAGCCCCCTCCCCCCTTGCACCATGTGAGGACACAGTGAGAAGGCGCCATCTATGAACCAGGAGGTGAATCTCCACCACTCACGGCATCTGCCATGCCGGGATCTTGATATTCAGCCTCCAGAGCTGTGAGCAGTAAATA